TTTCACTTGATTTTATATGGATATTTTAGAAATTTAGGAAATGTTTGTGATGCATAGCAAGTCACTTTGATGTATAATGATGTTATGACGTGAGTATCAAAATGATTTGGACATGATTTTGTGATATGTCATGTTGATGAAGTCGTGAATGTTGAGTGATATATGCATTTGAAAATTGGTAAGCAAATATGTTGTTTTGTTTGTGTTTTTTTACTCAGGGTTCCTACGAATTGCTCATCCTCTAGGAACTGTAATTTCCTTTTGATCAACTTGATCCTCGGGTTTGCTTATGTTGGAACGATATTGAAATTTGTTGTCTTGAGGTATATCTTCCTGGTGATAGTTGTGCAAATATATGCTTTGTAAGGTGAGTGATGATGTCCTCTTGTTGGTCAGGCTTGGAGTGACTTTCGGCTTGTTGTCTCGGGATATATTTGCTTCATGGCAGTGGTGTGACGATATACTTTGTGGGGTGAGCTGAGGATGTGTACTGCTTCATCCTTCTCGTTGGCCATGCATGTTTCAGATTCGTGTATTTCTCGGTCCATGTGGTATATTAGGAGCTTCTTTCTAACTATGTTGATGAAGGATAACCGATTGGCTGGTTGACTTAATGACATTTGAGTGTTCTCAAACTCATCGACATTTCCTCATCAACTCATTAGTGAAAATTTAATTAATCTTATTTTTGGGTACTCAGACTTCCCCTTCTTCCATGGTGCACCATTTTCCCCCCGAAGATCTCTTACTCAATTTCCATTCTTCGGAGCAAAGAGTGGTTTTATCAATCTTAACTTATGACGAACGCCAAAAATGTTTGAAAACTTTTATTAGAGAAGCAAAACTGAAAGTCATATCAAGACCTTGCTTTCGAGAAGTGTGTGCAAATTGGATAAAGCAATTTTTGTGTGGTATTGCCATGTTGCTAAATTTGGTTTTCTTTTCAGTAAAAGAAGTGTAAGCCAAGCCATGAGAATATCAGTAAGCCCTCGCTTTCACTCATACTTTTAATTTTGCTTTCTTTCATTCCCAATTTCTGATTTCGCTCATCAGTCATTCCTATAGGTGTTTTGAGTGTACGACATTTCAGCTACCATTAAGATTCTAGTCACCTTGAGATGTCTCCTTTTATGTTGGTGGCCAACTGTGCTCCTTGTAAAGATTTACTCAATATGGAAGACCTTGGTGTGATTGATTTAGGAAACCTCTGTATGGTTCGTCGCGGACGTTTTTGGTCTCCCATGAAAGAGGCTTTTGTCTGATATGACTTTGATGATATGAGTCTTCTTGTTCTTGAAGTGTAGTTTATTCAGATGGGTGACGGATAAGTCAAATCTTGATCTTACCCATATAAGGATTCTCGTAGAGGGATTTTGGCTCTGCCCCCAAAGTATGAGATTGTCTAGATGAGTTAAGAACCACTATTATCTACATCTTTTGTTGACGAAGTCTTGTTTGAAAATACTGGAGGGTTTGGGCATTTTTCTAGGAATGCATCTTCAGCTGGTTTTGCCCCCCTTTCTTTGAAATTATGGTTTCATGAGTCGAGGTTCGAGGTTTTTGCGAATGTAATCTGGTTATAGACTTGTCGAGACTCTTGATTGACCTCAAATGTTGATTGTGGTGGATTTTCAGCTTCTGGATTTCTCTCAAAATGATGAGTACCTTGGATGATGTGATTTTGGCTATAACGGCTTTCTTATTATGGAAGTTTCATTGCTTGAAGGTCCTTATTGATGTATCTTAAGATTGATCGGCAAAGACATTGGCTTGGTGCAGATAGTTGGTACTTCAAATGCTAAATTTGGGCACCTAATTTGTAAGTCTCACAACACTTTTCTTGTGTGGGACTTACTTGACATTGTTATGCCCCTGTCTATGCTTTTTCCTCCTTAATCTAGCATTTGACTTTAGTAAGAAGACTATTGAAAGGTCGAGAGTTTGTTTTGGTGATTGACGGTGTGGGTGCCACTTCTCGTTGGCTAGGTTGAATTGGCTATTCTTTTTACGTAGAAGTGAGGATTCTGACGCTATGTGCTTGCTTGTATAGATGAGTGCTTCACGTGTGTGATTCCTTTATATGATAAATCAGATCCTTGATCTTCCTCAATCATCTAGTTATGAGACACTGTGAGAGTTTTCTTGCCATGATAGTAATGTATGGCTCCCTGTGCATTGGGATTTGGCTATTTGACTTCACGTAGACTGAGCATCAATTTGTTGGCAAAAGTCGACTATAGTGGTGACGAGTTTCTACAAGTAGCATGTTGTCGTATACCCATTACACCTTTTGACTATTAGCTCACATAATTCATGGACACCAGTAGGGTGTTTATCTCTCGATTTTAGCAAAACACATACACTCTCAACACCAGTGGGTGGTAAAAATATTGACAGTAGCAGGGTTTTAATAATTGCTCGACACTAGTGGGGTGTCCCAAATCTCAACACCAGTGGGGTGCTCATAATTGCTTATCATGGCAATCTCATGGTTTAACTTGAAAATAAAATTGGATTTGGATGGCTTTCATTTTCGCAGAAGATAAATCCGTTTTAAAAAGGACATGAAGTGGCATTCGTTATTTTGATAAAACATTGATGCAAACTCTTAAATTAAGATTGATACTATTCACACAATGCTCCAAAGAGGTCGAAATGTGAGAGACCTTTTATTTATGATGATAAAAGCAAAAGTGATACATATTTTGCTATGGCGAATTATCTCGATATTTTATTTACTAGAGAGGATCAACATCATCCTTAAATCGAGCTTTGCCTTGTAGTATGTCTACTAATTCCCATGATTTGGCAGTGGGTTATTGTTGACAGCTAGACGCTTTGGCTATTCTTCGAACTTTAACCAGCCAGTATTCATCATTTGTTGGACCTTGATCTTCAGCGATCTGCAATCCTCAATTGAGTGTCCCGCTACTCCCGAGTGGTAAGCACAATGCTGGTCTGGTTTATACCAATTTGGATAAGGAGGTTTCATAGGTTCACATGGTATTGGAGAGATTAGGTTACTTTGAATTAGCTGAGGGAAAATTTCAGTGTATGTGATAGGGATAGGATCGATTTGGATGGGTTTCCACTTTCCTGTATTCCCATAATTATTTTGTTCTTGGTTATTTGGTGGTGGTGTGACTCGTGTCGGGCTCTGGATGGATCATTGAGTATGAAAATTTGAACGTTGATTAATTATGGCAGAGTTTGCAACATATGGATGAGCTTGATTGACTTGAGATTGACTCGCGAGGGTGTGACGCACGTGTTCCTCGCCTGATCCGGGTCAACCCGCGGTTGAAAACCTTCATCATTTCATTTGCAAAGCTCTCTCCTCAAAAGCAAGGGTAGGGGATAGTGATGCCAATCAAATCAATGACTGCGAGTACCCGCCCACCCCCGACCGAGTCTACGCGGGGAATCCCTGCTTTGACCGGGTATGGGTAAAACCCGCAAAACGTTTGATGGGTATGTGGCGAGTATGATTTTAGCCTCCCCCGTCCCATACCCATATCCGTCGCATTAGGATAATTTCTTAACATATAAAAAATATATTGATTAAATTGTAACCTATCATAATAGTGAGGGTAACTCAAGAAAATATTTAGTACAAATGTAATTAGATGGCTACCCAAATCAAACTTAATTCTTTTTTCGCAACTCTCCCTTCGCTCTTTCATCGTTTCGATTGTTAACATTAGTTATTACTTAGTAGATGTATTAGAGTAAGAGAATAATGCTTTGGATTACATTGCATTCTATCTTATTGATTAACGGATGCTTTAGGATAATATGCTTTGAATTGTGTTAAGAATGATTGTCTCTTTGTCGACTTTATGATATAGCAAGTGTATTTAGTGTTATAATTGATAATTTATATAGAAAATTTTAGGTGTTATCATGTTGGATGTACGGGGCGGGTATTACCCATGGGTACCCAAAACCTACGGGTATGAGGATGGGTTTGGAAAACCCTCTCCACATAGGTATAGAACTGGTATGAATTTGGATATTTGAAAGCGGGGATGGGGATTAGGGGTGTTCAAATGGTTACCATGGTTATTACCAAACCAAATAAGGCTAGATTTCATTAACCATGTAATACAATATCATAACCAAACCGTCCAAACTAATACAGCAACCAAATTAACCAAACTAAAGTTTAATCGGTTTGGTTAATTGGTTAACCAGATTAACCAATATAAAATCACATTATTATTAAGTGAGAAAATTTTTGGTTAATTTATCAATTCACAATTTATATAATGAATAAAACATAACAATCAACACTTGGTTATAGTTGACCTTAACATAAATACATGCAACTAAGACAATTATCTTACGGTTAGTATAGGAGTATTCACCTACCAAAAATTTATCACAATGGTATGGGTTAATGAATTGTTGTGTTTGTATTAATTGACTAGTCTTTTAGCAATTTTCATATGTTGAAAAGGACCTTGCTTTCACGTTTTCATCCAACATAATGTATGAGATTTATCCAAATTAGGCATTCATATGTTGTGGTCTACACTCTACATATACAAATATACATTATAGAAATAATATCAAGCTTTATATTTTATTAGTCTAAAAGGGATTAACGTTTAACTCTTGAGTGCTTATTCAAAGTATTAAGTATGTGTATATATTATATATATGGCTAATTATTTATCTGGTTAATTTGATTTGACTGGTTAGGAGGCTTTCTGAAATCAGATCAAACCACCTAAACCAAACAAGCTAAAAACTTTAACCAAACCAAATCAATTATCCAAATTAATCAAACCAAATTATCTTAATAGTACTGGTTAAAACGGTTACCATGGCAACCACACCGTTTGAAGTTTGAACCCCTAATGGGATGGTTTAGCCGAATCCGCTCATTGTTATCTCTAGTAGGAAGGAGAGAGGAATAGATAAATGCAGCTGAAGTGCGAGTGAGAATGTAATAAACGCACACTAAAAGAGCTGAAGCGAAGCCACGGTACGGAAATATGGGGAAGAAGGCAGTTCTGATCGGATGCAATTACCCAGGAACCAAGGCGGAACTGAAGGGATGTGTGAACGATGTCCGTAGGATGAACCGTTGTCTCGTAGATCGCTACGATTTCTCCCCCGACGATATCACCGTCTTGATCGACACGGACGACTCCTTCACCCAACCTACCGGGAAAAACATCCGATCCGCTATTACCAATCTTGTAAGCTCCGCCTCACCGCGGGATTTTCTCTTCCTCCATTACAGCGGCCACGGCACCAGGCTACCCGCCGAGACTGGAGAGGAAGACGATACTGGCTATGACGAGTGTATCGTCCCCTGCGACATGAATCTCATCACCGGTATGTATTTTTTCGTGTTTCCTAGTTTGGCTGTATGTTGTACCCGTTGGTCCGCTGCTTTGTTTGAGACCAGATCTGAGATCTGATTATAGAAACGGAAGAAGAAAAGGGGTAAATAGTCGGATGGGATGGATAGATAGATTTGGTGTGTCCCATATTTTACTAATTAATAAAATCAAATAGTGCTCATCTGGTTCTCGGAGATCCACAGAATTGATAAGGTGCTTCCGTCCGCTTTCCTTCTTCTTCCTCTTGCTCCATCTAATTCTCTGAATGTCAACGGCATGTCGTTTCGTACTGCTCTTCAATGTGATTCTGCCTTGGCTGTTGGACTTGGACACCGTCTATGCCTGATCTTTTTCCTTTCCCTATGAGCACTGCAGATGATGATTTCAGGGAATTTGTAGATAAGGTACCTGAAGGCTGCCGCATAACAATTGTATCAGATTCGTGTCACAGCGGTGGCCTTATTGACGAGGCCAAGGAACAAATCGGAGACAGCACAAACCGTCCAGAAGAGAAGGAGAACGAATCAGAGTCTTCTGGTTTTGGATTCAAAAGCTTCCTGCACCAGACTGTAGAAGGTGCATTAGAATCCCGTGGAATCCACATTCCTTCTGGTCTGCGCCACAACCGTCATGGTCAAGGTGGTGGTCGGGGTGAGGAAGAAGAGCTTGATGTTGCTGATAAGGAGGTGGAAACTGAGTTTGGTGAGCGAGCCTTTCTGAAAAGCAGATCCCTGCCTCTGTCAACACTCATAGAAATACTCAAGCAAAAGACGGGCAAAGATGACATTGATGTAGGGAAGCTGAGGCCAACTCTTTTTGACGTGTTTGGAGAAGATGCAAGTCCCAAGGTGAAGAAATTCATGAACGTCATTTTGAACAAATTGAAACACGGGGAAGGGGAGAGTGGTGGAGGGTTCTTGGGTATGGTGGGTGGCCTTGCTCAGGAGTTTCTGAAGCAAAAACTTGAACAGGACGATGGGTATGCAAAACCTGCTCTTGAGACTGAGGTGGGGAGCAAGCAGGAGGTCTATGCTGGGCCTGCGAAGCGGTCACTGCCAGGGGGTGGGATCCTCATAAGTGGCTGCCAGAGCGACCAAACTTCTGCGGATGCAACTCCTGCAGGGAGATCGGATCAAGCTTATGGAGCCCTTAGCAACGCGATCCAGGCTATCCTAGCTGAAGCAGATAACCACCAAGTTACTAATGAAGATGTTGTTTTAAAGGCTAGGAATTTGCTGAAGAAACAGGGTTTTACCCAGCAACCCGGACTATACTGCAGTGATGATCTCATCCGTGCTCCATTTATCTGCTGATTTACTTCCATCACAAGGCTCCTTTCCTAGTATTTTTATTTATGTGGGAAGTCTAGTCATACGGTGATACTATGTTATTATGCATGATGTATCCTTGGTGTGTGTGGTATACTGGTATTTGCTTATCTGGTTTCAATCTGGTCTGGCCTTCTGGGTCCATGTGACTAGTCGAGGAGCTCAAAAATCCCAAGGACAATTTCTCCCATCGGACTTTCTTTATATTTGTTTATTAAGCTCAGTGATTTTATGTTGTCGAATAATGAGCTGGTGGATTTTTTAATGTCTTGTTTTAGTGGATCACTGGATCTGAGTTGGGAGATTGCAGAAGGGAGTCTACCCGGTAAAAACCATTAACCAACAGACCATATCATATTGACCCAAAATCCAACCATTTATTGTTATTTTTATTGAAAGTGTTAACAATTAAATGAAACTAACTAGAAATTCACAAACCATTATATTACCGAAAACAAGGACCTTTGTTCGTGTTTGTTGAGGGGTTATTTGTTGGGTCTTGTTCACTTAATATTTTGCTACCAAAACCAGTATAGATAACTAGCTGTAACTTGTAATATTAATAATAATAACAAACATATTTTTTTCAATTCATAATATATTAAGTTGACACAATTGATTTGTAATTACAAATTTGTGTAGCTAGCATAGAATTCAGCCTAAATTCATCTCATATTTACTCAATATCAACAACCGATTAAAAAGTATAAAACACATTCAAATAATATTAATCTTATTGTGAACTTGTGATAAATTCACAAACCATTATATTACCGAAAACAAAGACCTTTGTTTGTGTTTGTTGAGGGGTTATTTGTTGGGTCTTGTTCACTTAATATTTTGCTACCAAAACCAGTATAGATAATTGTTGCTAAATTCGATTTTCAATGAATTAGAAAAATAGAAATCGATTTAGCATCCATATACAAACTCCCTGCATGTTCATTCTTCAGCCTAAAAACACTCGCACTTCAAATTTGGTGTAATTGATTTCTTGCCACACAAGGTGATGAATTTTTTATCATGAATGAAGCATGACCATAACTCGAAGGACTCTACAGTTCTACTCCCTCACCTGCACATAAGACTTCTTTTTTGTCCAGAAAGGTGGGCAACCTTCCTTTTCCAAAATCATCAAGCTCTAATCCGACCTACGGTGAGTGCTGACAGATGTATTATGGAATTTTTGGATCACTAATGGACCTCTTACTCCCACCTAAGATCATCTTCTTCATTTGGAAAGGCTTAATCCACACCCTAGGCGCTAGTAGTAGCCTTGGGGTTAATATTTTCGTATGGTCTGAACTTTGACCAAAATAAACATCCTGTCCAATCTTTTCGAGTTATAACATCCTGGCTCGAACTATACACCAAAATAAACAATTTGGCCAAATCCGACTTTTAACCGTTAACTTGGATGGTCAAACGCGTTGACTGTTAGTCAACGCGCCATGTCACTGTCAAGTCAACATAAAATATTTAAAATAATTCACAATTTCCACACATTCCCTAATTTTAAATTAATATAAATTGAAAAAATCATCTACTACCTTAGTTAAACCAAAAATAATAAACGAAAAAATTAAATATTTATCAGATCTTATGACTTGGCAATGATGTGGCAGTGGCATGGCGCGTTGACCGTTAGTCAACGTGTTTGACCATCCAAGTTAACGGTCAAATATCGAATTTAGCCAAATTGTTTATAACCCAAATTGTTTATTTTGATGTATAATTCAGGTCAGAATGTTATAAATCAAAAAGATTGACTATGATGTTTATTTTGGCCAAAGTTCAGGCCATACAAAAATATTAACCCAAGGGATATGTAAGATTCCCTCTCCCTTCCAGAAGTTCAACATCCCTCATCCCACGCTAGTTTTGCCTTTGTCTGGCAACCGCATCCAGCACATACGGTCAAATTTCATACTGCTTAACACATCTGAAAGACTGAAACGTAGACCTCCCAAACCCAACCTCTTTGTAGTCATGAGCATGCCAGAGCTGAAGCCACTACATGAGAATCTTGTTATCCATAACCAACCTCATCAATGTGGACTTTAGTCCACAACGACTGAATGGCAGGCTGGTTAGGTTGTCAAACCTCAAGCTCGGCGCGTCTTCTATCCATAGTGCATCCGAATACTGGACCTCCTGTCGGTATTTAATCAACAAAGCGGCATCTGGAATTCTCATTTCATTTTTGTAGGCTGGGTAGTCAGCCAACAATAACAAATAAATAAAAAAAAATACAGTTGTTACAGAGACTGACAACCCAAGCAGTAGTGAGCAAGCGACCGTGGCTTCTTCTGTCCTCATTTCAGCAGAAGAATTGCAAAAAATTATATGGTTTCAGCTACCACCAACCCCTCTGAGCCCAAAACACGCCAAAAAAAAATGAGAGCGTGGTAGCACATTAACTAATCAGAATGAAGATTCCAGCAACGAGTCCATGTTTCTACTACTTCCCCGTACCTTTACAGTTCTCCAGTTTACTTCTCTGTACCTTCACAGTTCTCCAGTTTTTCTCCCAAACTCTCGTGTCAGAGCAGCTTTGAAGGGGGCAAGTCTTAGTTATCTTAATGAAACCCCTTTCAATCATCAATATCCTGGCCCCACGCCAGATCTGCAAATTATGAGCAGAAGGGGGTAATAAGTCTGATAAGACAAGATGTTTATACAATGGACATACAAAAGAGAGACGACAGATCGTCCAACCTTCAAGCACAGATTCAACAGCCCCACTTGGGACAAGAATTCCAACAATCCTCTGACTATCTGCAGTGGTTTCTAAACGCACAACACGGAGCCGCTTATGACTTTGACGAGCCTGTTGTCAAGGTTACTCCAGCTTTTAATCAATTAACCATTTTATAAACTAACATTTTGTTTCAAGTAAAGAGTTCATATGATTATTGGTTGACAGTCGAGCCATTCATGTACAAGAATGAACAAGATTAAAACGTTAATGTCCTACTGTGGCTAGAACTTCACCTGTCGAGAAAGGGCCTTCTCTATGGTACCCCAAACTGGAAGAATGATGCCACCCAGAACATAAACTTCTTGCACTCTTTTACCCACGGTACAATAGATGCCAACCTTACAGTTGGGGCCATGCATGCACTGCAGGAGAAGTTAATCCTTTTATCAGGTTAACACATAAGAGATTAATAAATACCTAGGAAGACTGAAAGGCGGTATTGGCTCTAGAAACCACTACTGTCTTAACCTGTCTGGATGAAACTTCATATTCATCTTCCCAACCACTGCGTGCTTTTTCTAAAGAAGACAGTTTTCTGTACTTGTTTCTCAACTCAGACAGGGACATTTCCCTGCAGAAGAGATAAATGGATTCGAGAAGGGGAAAAGGGGAGTGGGGAGTGTGTGAGCAAGAAAAATAAAAACACAATAATTAAGTTGGATAATATTTAATTTCTTGCCTTACTGATTCCCCAACTGGTGGCCTGACTATCTTAAACATTCCAGAAGCGGCACTGAAACAGCAGAATCAAACCACGGATCACCCTCAACAAAAAATGAACAGGCAATCAGGAGCAGAAGAATTTGATGCAGCATAGTGTAAGTGCAGCTACGGAGAAGGGGTTGCCAAGTTGAACTAATTGTCAAAGGTACAAAATAAATGCATGTATTGTGATTACAAAGCAAAAACTCGCCTTTCAAGGGAAAACAGTTGAACTGTCTAAATTACGAATTGGTAGCTACTGAGCGGAGTTCAACCTCAGCACAATTATAATATAAATTTTGATTTCATTTTGTGAGTGAAACATCCCTCAAGACATGCCCGAATCCAGATTAAGATTCCGAAAGTCAAACCGAAAAGGTACTTCCCTTATAGAAACTTCTATTTGACCACTCCTCTCTTCAATGGAAGAATTTGAAAGATGCAACGTCAGCTGGAAAACAATGAACGAGTGAGATGACAGAGACCAGAAAATACCTTTCGAAAACTAAAATGAAGTGCCGTTTCCCTAACCACTCTCTCTTAGATTCATAGAACCCATCATTGGAGCAAACAAGGCCATCCTTTTGCTTCTCCCCTAGCATGGCATTTGCAGCCTAAGAGTGGAGCAAAACATCACATGGTTTATGTTTGCTGCTCAGGAAGCTCAACCACATTCAAAACCGTATTGACAAGCGCTGCTAGCTGCTTAAAGCAAGAATAATACAAAAGTTAGGTACCTCCCATGTGACTCCACGGTCAACAGAAAAGGTAAAGAGCACTGTTGAGGCACCAGACATTTGATCCACGTGCACCTTCTACAATATGAGAGAAGATAATTAGCTGAAATCATGAAGCAAACAATTAACAAACTACAGAGTTACCTTTGGCGTCCCTTGTAGTTCAATGAAGTTTGCTTTCATATCAATGATCCCTGAATCAAGATTTCCCTCAATACGAGCATTGTGAATCAAAAGATCTAAGATGCTGACAAATAACTCAAACAGCCTGTAGATTATTGACAAGCAAATTAGGCCAAGGAGTACAGTTTACTATAAGAGGTACATTATCTTTCAGAAAACACCAGACCTGTTCTGAATCTCAGGAGGCAGGCCCAGTAATCGATTCAGAAAACGACCAACATCGTGCATATCAGAATCAATAATGCGCCCAGATAATTTTCCACGGTCCATACCGTTACCTATGCCAAAAATGTAAACCTGGGATGTTAAAATAACATTTAAAAAACAATGTTTCAGAAGGCTACAAAGCAAGAACCAGATAATAGACTGATCTAGTGACCGTATGAGCCTAAGGTAAATATCAGATTGTTCAATCCAAGAACGCAAGATATTTGATTTGGAAAGCGGAATACCAAGAACAGTGTCTCTGACTATTCCAACTGAGACGAGAGCAGCTTTTGCCTTCATTATGAACTCTTGACTTGTATCTGGCTTGTCAGATGAACATCCAGGAGGGACCACAGGTAGCAATTCCTGAAAATCAGACTCGTAAGTTCACAATACGGACGAATTGCAGATATAGATACTTAAAAATCACAATCACAAGAAGTGTAGAACCTGTTCCATGATTCCCCTATACATGACCATCAAAGCCTTTTTCCCATATACACTATCATAATTGTAAGCACTCAAAGATGGTCCTGCTCTGCATAGGCGAAATTATAATGAAAAACTCAGTTAACAGCAGACAAGCTGAACATCAGAGAAGAATAAAAGCAACAAACGAACAAGGGGCCAACATCACTTATCGAAACAATATATGAAAAGGAAAGTAGAACTTGCTATCTCATCCCTGACAAGTCAAAGTGGTGACCAATATTCGAGTTAGTACCTGCGGTCCCCTTGTGTCAAGGCTCCTAGAGATTCTAATCTCTTAGCAACAATAGAAGCAAACCGCCGTTCTCCACCAAGATCAGTAAATAATAACCTGCAAGAAACCATAAGAGAATATTTGTGTGGGTGTGAAGTTTTTGGAAACTGTAGCATCAGCAATGTGAAGATTATTTTCAAACCTAAGCCATGAAAATGCCTCTGAGCGATGGCCATTATCATAAAGTCCACTGCTACAGTGAAAAAATCCTCAACTCATAAGATATCGCGGGCTAAAAGTTCTTCTATCCACCACCAGATACTAATTGACCTATTTGCATCCCTTCTCCTTAGTGGCATGTTCAGTCCATTTCATAAGCCTTTACAGACAGGAAATGCGTGCTTTGAGATTGATGCATTGCATGAGACAGGTATACTAAGTTACAAAAGTAATAGTCAACCAGTTAAGGCGTCTGTAGTCCTTCGCTCTAAGCCTCTAACAGGCAGATAGCATTATTGTCTTCTAAGGACTTTTCACTCTTGCCAGAATTAGATGCTTTATTTGCATGAAATCTAAGGCATAACTTTTCTTCACAAAGAACCAGTATACTGTAAATCATTTTTCCAAGCCTGAACTGGTTTATCAGAAATAACCACCCACCAACCTCATCCCACAGAACTCAGGTCAAGCCATTTATCATTCTAATATTCAGTACAATGTCTTGCATCAACATCAATAATTTGTGAAAAGGCAAAGGCACCAGAATGAAGTTAGCATTGTAAAATACCGAGTAAACTAGAGCTCTTGGATGATTACTATAGGACCAATTTAAAGAAGACATGCTCCAAAAAAAAAACAGACTAACAGCACAACACCCCAGAGATATCCCTTTCAACATAAGATATGAATTTAAAGGCTACATGACCGGTAGAAGCACATGCATACTGCTTTCTACCTATATTCAGGGGCAGAGGCTTGGTTTGAACGATGAGTCCTTCCAAATTGCTGTATTGCACGGTCAGCACTCCAAGGAAGTTCTAGTGTCAAATGAACCCTCCTCTTCTGTTGTAGATATTTTAAGGAGTAAGGAGACAGATGGAAACTTAAACGGCACAGAGAGCTGGGTGTAGAACTCGAAGCAGTTTGCTTCGACCTATGTTAGAGCTTAATGAAGCAGTACAAGAACAGTCCAGAGAATTCAAAAACCTGATTTATGGCTCGCCTATCTGCCTGCAAGGATACTCCAGCAGATCCCGCTTCAGAAATGATAGCAACCAATTTCTTGCCGTCCATAAAGAGTTGCTTTTCATGCATGTTGACCATTTCCATAGTAACATCCTTTCTAAAGGAGTATGAGAAAATATAAAATGGTAAGCATGCAACAAACAGACATTTGAAGTGCACAAGCAGCAAGACCAGACCAACTCACGTGTTCCTTGACTGATAAGTTACACCTTTTCCGCTCGATGCTCTGACAAGCATGCCTCTCCTGCCCGTCATCTCTGCAACTCTGTCAGGGCCTCCAAGCTGTAACGATAACAAGTGCAACAAATACAAACAAATTGATTTCACGATATACAGTGTCTGTAATATACATGACCAGGAATCACTGCACCACTTGCATCCAGCAAGTCAACAAAATGAAAATGTAGCCAAATTACTGGATAAATCCCTTTGATACCCGCTTCTAGTTCATTTATGGTAACTCTATTCATATTATACAACATTAATTCAGCAGTAAAATCCTTGATACTACTCATAGTAACATGCCGTCTCTCTTCATACTTACAAATCCCCAATATTTCATATAAGTAGACTGCACCCTGATATATTTCAAGACAACAAACTACAGATGAAGTGTCATTACTTCATGATAACTAGGGCCCTTGTAGACACAGCGTATTATATTCAAAGAAATGCACAGAATATCAAAAGACCTCTAAAAGTTGAAAAGATGCCTGCATACACATAAGAATAAAAGAACACCTTAAGTCCAAGCACTCTGATAGGGAAAACATTACAAGTTCATGCTACTTCCAACACCTAGATGAAGGTGCATCCAAGTGCTGGTGTCCCTAAAAGGATGACAAAGTTCACTGCTCGTAGGAAGCAGAAGCTAAGACATTATGAAAAAAGAGGCATTCCACACATCATTTCCATGAAATAGGTGGCATCACCATTCTAGATTAATACAGCTTTGACACTACTCTGGCAAAAAAAAGGGGTACCCCTATGTAGAATTTATGCATAGGGATTAGAAAACAAGGGGAACTTCTCTATGACACTTTAAAAGATAAATATGTTTGTTTCATCTATTTTTTTAGGTCCTAATGTAAAAGTAGCTAAACAAAATTCAGTCAATTCTTTATTACTAAACAAACCACATCTCATCCCGTTACCACCAAAAAAAATATTATCCTATCAATTTTATTTTTTATAAAACCATATCAAATATCATTTTCCATCTCGATCTACTAAAAAATCATTTTCTATTCCTAAATTTAATGGGGAAAAAAAACAAAAAACACTTGACATTAGTTATGCATACATTGCAGAAGACCCTGTGACTGCATTGCATAAGAAAGATTAAACAAACCAAAATAAGTGTCTGTCTAAACATGTCAACTTCATTGACACTTTCACTGTGCTAACATCATGAATTGCCAAACCCCTCAAAACACAATGTGAACACACAAAGATATAGACAAATCAGGAATACAGCCAGAACCTGGTCAATTATGTCGTCCAATGGATTATTGGGAAGATCCAACAAGCGAATTATCTCCAGAATTTTTGACTTGCGGTCCAGAGCAACATCATATCTAGTATCAAATTCATTAACATTTCCTGTTAGTACTTGACATAGTACCAAATTCATGATCTCCAAATATGGTACAACCAAAGTAACTACAATACAGACACTAAAATGCGTCAAGAAAAAAATTACTGGGTCAATTTTAAATACCTCTTCAATAGTTCAGCTAAGTATGCACGTCTTGCTATAAGATACTCTTCCGTTTTTTCCTTGCATGATTGGCACGACCAATCTTCAGATGGAAAATCTGTAATGTGCGGGACTAAACATGAAGGATGGAAAAGTTGGCCACAACAAGAACATCTGAGGAGTCTTTTACTTTCCTGCATCCAAAATTTTCACAAACTAGTGCATTAATATAAAAAATCAAAATAAGCACAGGATGCTCAGACAGGAGTGTGTGGAAATACCTCTTCCGTATTGCATATCTCACAGATCTGAAACTCATCATCGGATTCAGTGGATTCACCCACAGAGTCAGCTGCATTAACCAGAGGCAAATAGAAGATATAAACGCCAGTTGGCAAAAATGTTTTGACTTTCCATAACTTTGATTTAGAAATGTCTTTGTACAACACAGAAATGGGGCAAGTAGTGACATTTACATCCAGAACTCACTTTCAGATTCTTCACCACTTTCATGATCATTTGTAGGTTTCCACCTAGCAACTTTTCTAACTCTGCCTTTCAAGGAAACATCAGATGCTGTTGAATGTCTCTTCCGTTGAAGTTCCACTGGGTCAACTTCTCCTACACAAAGTATGATATTCACCTACAGCATCAATATGGGAATGACAGAAGCACTTCGTGGAAATCACGACATACCACCAAGGGGCTCAGGTTTTTCGGGCAACGGATAATATTCTTCAACAAATTTCAGCAACAACTCTCGTGGACCAGAGATAAAATCATCAAGCTCAAACCCCTAACCAAGATAGAAGGAGAGACAAGGAAAAAATAGTTATAGAAAATAAACGATGGAGCCTTAAAGCACCGAAAGTCCACTTTGGAAACTGCACACAAAATTTCATATAACCAAGAGATACACACATATTTGGTGACAGCTTCCTCTGTCCGTGCCTCCCCTGTACTTTGCAGACCAATGACTACACATTTATCTTCCTTCAGTGCATGCTTAGCAAGTCTTACAGTAGCAGGTACCTTGGCTGACATGCACATGTGTCTAAAAAACCGCTGACAAAGGAAGTACGAATCAATTATATTAAATTGTAGACCGAAGAAAATATTGATGGTGCAACTAGTATTGAAAATATCAAAGAGGGAAAACTTGCGGTTAGCAAGAAGAATGATAGCAACCTGGTGGCTTGACCAATACAATCTCCATAACTGACTAGAATTAGGCTTGTCGTTCACAAGGAAAGCACTTGCTGATAACAGCTCCACTCGCAGCTCTGCCCAAAATTCAGCTGCTTTTTTGTACATTTCCTACAAGGTTGAGCAAATATTATTGAAAATTTTAGCAGACTCATACAATCACATATACAGGCTAGGAGTCGGGACATGCTGGACAAAATAGGAAAACTGAACCAACAATGCGAAGTGGCAGCTATATAGTTGGGGGTGGAGTCACAGGCACAAAATTTACAGAACCAGCCTCTTCAGACAGGCTGAGTGTCTAGAAAGGGAAACTAAAATGACAAAAAGGCCTATGCTAGGAAGGATATATAAAATATGGAAAATGGCTGAAAAGTTCAAAGACTCGTCAAGAATTCATAACTCATTGAGATAGCGACTGTTTCAAGCATTATATTTGAGTTATTCATATATGCAAGCAAAAAAAAATACCCTTACCATCATATCAGGTTCCAAAGCTACTTCAACAACTTCAAATTCTGCACCTTTGTAACTAAGAGTACGACAAACATACATTCCCCTGCCAAATTTAAAATGAATCTACCAATAAACATAATTGGCGTGAAACTAGTTCAAAAATGAATCTACCAAGAAACGTAATTGAAGTGAATCTATTTCAGAAATGAATCCACAGATGTACCTTGCTTTCATGTCCATGGCAACAAGTTCCAATGCCCCAACACCTCCTTTTTCCATAGCACCTACACTTTCTTATGTTGCTTACTTAACGATTTTGGTAACTAATTTTGTAGGAGAGAATTGCAATTGAGTTATGGATGCATAACATCCATGGAAATCAAAATTAAGCAGAAGAAGTGTGGGACCTAGGAACTTATGGAAGTCAGAGAAACATGTTCCAGATCCCCAGAGTCCAAGCCTAACCATGTAACCCAAGTTGCGAGGCTCAGATGCTCCAGTGGCTGAGCAATAAACAACACGTGCTTCAGGTAGTCTGGCCTGTTACATGAACACGATTTGATAATTAAGAGTCCATAAAAAAGGAAACAACTAAACTATCCATGCATCTCTTTGATAAAGAAAGAGGCACAAGGCATTAACTGCTGTCTAGATATGAAAACTGGTAACACAGATGATTTCATGAATGTTACCCAGCATGCAAAATCCAAAGATCCATAGATGTGGTCATAGAAAGACAAAATAACAGATGATATATTAACATGCAGGCATGATGACTAATAAGAAAGGAAGTCCCAAATTTTGGAACAAAACGACAACTTCACTGACATAGAAGCTTAAACCTTAAGGATATGCTTTTACCAAGAACACCAAAAAAATGTGAAGAAATGTGATATGAGGCTGAAGAATTTTCTTACATCTTAGTTAACATAATACAAGCTTAAGCGATAATAATTTAAGCTGTTACGGTCGCTCTCCTGAACCTTCATTCATAACCCTCTGTGTATGATACATCTAAGGAACGAAGACACCCACCGTCTCTGCCTCTGAGGCCCCCGACCAAAGGGAATTGAATAAAGAATCTCTAGTTGCAATTCATTACTCCCTAATAAATGGATAAAGACAAACAGACGAGAAACTATTGATAGGGTAGCACATGTATAGCACATCAGGTAGAAACGTAATGTACGGGACAAAGGCCTAACCTTTAATAAGGTAGAAGCACTTGTCAGGCAAAAAGTTCAGTACATACGGTATTAAACACCGCAACCATAGAAGGTAAAAAAGAACAACGAAAATTCCCCTGTTAGTCTAGTCTCTTAAGAAGTTAGAAGATGCCACATAAAAGTTTTGTTTCCCTCCCTGGACCATCAGCTATCATGCCAAATAATAACTCAGCAGTAGAAACCACTAACAACCATGAGATAGAAGCAAATGCAAATTCCCTCTCTGCAACATCAGCCATCATGCCAAAAAACTCATTGAGCAGTAGAAACCATCAACGACCATGAGATAGAAGCAAATGCAAGCATGCAACAATACATGAGATTGTTAATTTAACTTCTATTTGCAACACAACATGACTAGACAGAAGAACAGCATTGGAAACATATTAGTTCAAACAGTCTTGAATTCCTAAATAAAGCTGTCAGAAAAAAACACCCTAGAATGCAGCTTCTATATCACGAGACAGAACCCCTGCCTCCTAAGAAAAATTTTCAACAATCTTGTCTAAAAGAGAGGATGTGTCAAGGTACCACAAAAGTAACTGCTGTGCTAATACAGTTACCAGAAAACAGATGTTGGTATCACTTCATAAACACTAGTTGGATCAGTTTTGAGTTTCTAGCACTTCAGTTTTATTGAGAATTGAGGGGCAACCTGAATGTCGAGAACTGATTCACCAGTTCGTGTTGGCTGGCTCCCAGCTTCAGGTACCAAATTTTTGGCTTTGTGGCACTACAAGAAAAGTAGTCAGTATATTAGAATCTGGAGCCTTTCTCTACAAATAGGAAGAAATAGACCACAAGGAACAGCTCACAGACACGAACTTGAAATTTTAGTAGAGTCTAGCACCTCATCAAATACAAGAAGACCATCAAATTCAGATCCAAACCACTGTACAAGCTGCTGTAGTCGAGAACGACCCTTCTCGGATGATGCAATGAGACTACTGTATGTCAGAAAGACAACTCCATCCTTCACCCCAACACTCTTTGAATCAAGCTTGGCATATGGCAACTTGTTCAGAGCGTGCACTGTGAACATCAAATAATGTATGAGCTGGCCACCATAATACAGGAAATGCAAACGCAAATTTATGTGAAGCTTGAAACTCAGTTCATGGTGACCAAACCAAACAGATTTAGTTGCCGTTTACTTTCTATAACTGTAAACATTGCTATTCCTGCTACAGTGTTATGCATGTGCGCCAGTGTGATAACCTTTCTATATGCGCGCACGTCTCCGACCGAAATTTTACCGAGAAATTAGGAAAACATTGTCAATAACAAAGCATTCGAAGGCACAAGTCTAGGACAATTTAAAGATGACTCAACTCAGGCATAACATAAGCCTTCTATCTATCGTATTAGGATGGCTGTATACCTTTCAGTAAATATATGCAATGCTAATAGCTGGTTTTAACATAAAAAGAAAGTAAAAAAATCTGGAAAAGGAAGGCTAAGAGCCTAAGACACAAATATTCTATGTAAGCTTCAGGCAACTTCCCAATCTCCAATCCTCAAAACCCAAAATAGTTACAACTGTGACCACGGAATTACAAGTTTGCTTGTGAGTTTCCATCCTATTGTCGCTAAGATATAGCTAAAATCAGTAGACTTCACAATTCCACTGGTTTAGGGTTTGGATCGGTTTCGGTCTAGCTAATGGGCCCTAACTTCAATCACTCTCCTATGACGATGCGTTCTTTTGGAAACAATTGACATCATATTTCACTAGCTTACCGCCATTGTATTTATTTAGATTTTAATGTGATTTGTATTTGTAGATTTATGGTTAAATTTCTACATAATATATAAGCCTTACGGAGATCCCTACTGAAGTTTGGTTATGTCAACACCTCATTGTCTTAATACAGGAACTTATTGCGGATCAGAATATATATATATATAACTAGCTAGGACCCTGCCACTTTGGGAAATATTTTGTCAAGTAATTTATCAAGATTTCCGCTAACATCCAAATTATCTATTTGTTATTGAAATGTTACAACATTTTTATTATTTTAAAAATAAAAATATATATATCCCAACAATTTATTCCGTAGAAGTCAGGGATGAAAACCGCACCTTCTTCTATCACAATTGCAACAATTAATATGCATTTGAAATCTATAATATTTAAAGGTCAAAAATATCTATAATATTTGGTCATTATAAACATCCATGATGGTTGGGTTAGATGTTCTATTATTAATATATCTAAATTTCTGATGATAAAAATATATTATTTGTTAAAAATAGATTTTGTATTATAATAACTAGCTTTTTACTCGTCTGTTGGTCCGGTGAGTTTTTTACCATTTATAATAATAAGTTAATTTAAATTTTTATATCTATTTGTAGATTCTAAAATTAGATACTAAAATTTTTTATGCATTATAAGATTTTTTTTTACAAAATATGTATGATCTTTTTTGTCTAATTTTTGTCTAATATGTATGATCTTTTTTGTCTAATTGTTGTAGGTTTACAAAATATGAGTAGATTCTCTAATATAAACTTATATATATGTATCTTAACAATATACATTGAAAATATGACACCGATAAAGTTTTTTTGCAATTTTATGGGTTTAGACTTTAGACTAACTTTCTAATTATATAGTGACACCGATGAATTTAAAATGGATCAGTTTATTTAAACTTGTATAGGACTTGTGTATTCAACAAACATAAAAAGTATAGCATGGTCGTTCTAGCTATGAATAACTAAATATGCATAATTATATCTAGACATGGCGTGAAGGGGCTTTATTTTCGAAACCCTTTAATATATTTTAAGATATAAATTACTGGTTAGAAGACTTGAGAATTATGACAATCGGTTATTATATTTCTTGTTATTAGATAATTACCACTTATGTGATTTTATTGTGGGACATTATACATAATTAGGTATAATCTAAAATATGTGTTTTTTATTTTCTTTATTGTAACTTCTATTTGAAGTATTTTGAGTGTCAATTATCAAATGTACACAAAAATCTTACTCATTCGAGTTTATGATTCCAAGATTCCCAAAAAAATTTCTTTTGTATAATCTCAATCCTAACTACATTGCTCCCACTGCTATTTGCGAAATTTCAGTAACAGTTTATAATCAGAAGAGTAGGAAATTTGAATGCTTCAGTGTAATTCAAGCGGTTCAATGAGTCCAACTCAGTTGCTACATTCAGTTCAAGCTTAAGTTTGCATAATATACACTAAATGTACCCAACAGTAACAACAGAGTCATGACATTATCTGGCCATCAAACTATCTATCAGAAGATTGGGAATACAGAATGTTTTAGAAAGCAAGTCAAGCGTAACTTATTTTCACAAACTACCCTAAAAAAGCAACTCTCCTTCACAAACCACATTTTACAAGGTCACTTACCTTCGATAAATGGAGCACCCATGTCATCTAAATCCCTTCTTGCATCAAACTTTAGGTCAGAACCAATAGAAATCCATCTGCATAAGACCATTTAAAAGGAAGGCAAAGGCAGAATATAGATTTGACTTCAGTAGTTTCCAGCTTACAGAAAATTTAAGTAACATGGAAACCTAACTGCACAAAATAATAATGAAGAATAGTTGAAGAAATCTGCAAAAGGAATAAATGCAACCACAACTTACATTGCTTTCTTCCGTCCATGGTGCCAGTTTTCCAATATTAACCCAGCAATTGTACGACCTTTACCCACTCCAGCACCATCTCCAACAAAAAATCCAGCCCTGGCCCCACATGGAAGATGCTGCTGGTGTCTCTATTAAGTAAATATTCAGAGCGCCTATGAGTAAAGTCACTTGGAATATAAATTAAAAAATCAGCTCCAGAGACAACCTGACAAGCATAAACCAACGTCTCAATCTGCAAGCATGACAATGCCTTTGAATGTTCCAAATCATCCTTAATTTTTAGATCATATGCCGATTCAGGTGGTTGTACTGCGGACAAAGAAGATGTTTCAACAATAGGATCAGGATGTGGCGGCCCAACAGATAGTTTCGGTGGTCTCTGCAATAAAAATCCAAATAATTACAATAAGAAGGCATCAAAGGACAAAAAGTGATCCATCTCAGGAAACATTAAGAGATGATGAGAAATTAGGAATCATATAAAACTTGACCATGATACTCACGTAATCTGTAAATGTTTCTCCCGCCGTTCCACCTTCATCTTCTTCTTGCTCTACCTCAATTGCTAACTGATATGTTTCAGAACAAGTGAAAAAATTAAAGAAACTTACAAGCTTAACCTGAAATAAGCGAAAAGGGAACAGTAAACAACAAAGGATTTAATACAATCATTTCCTTATAAGAATGCAGGTGTCATGTCCAACTAACCCATAGTTGGACACATCATCAAATTTGACATTCAACTCTGTAATAACAGAAGACCTGCTAGTGTTAAAAGAAAAGGACCTGAAAACCATTCCATCAACAAAACAAGATGCCTTCGGAATTACAAGAGACTTTATTTAGCAAAATGTCACAAGTATGGAGGATAATCTGCAAACTCTAGTCCTTGGTATAATTGCAAAACAAACTGTTGATTCATTAACATTTGTTAGGGACTAACAAGGCATAGGCATTCAGTATTACCTAAAGGTTTTGTGAATCATGGAGGGAAATTAGTAATCCATTTAGATGAGCAAACATTACAAGATCTCGTGCTGGAAAAATTGAAATCCAGCTTATCAGGAAGGTTATGGGATAGACCAAAGCCTTTCTTCCAGGATTCTTGCTGAAAGGAGCAATATTCTGTAGTTAATTCACTATTTATTCGTTGTTTCGCCAGGGTTGGAGGAAACAAATGTTTGGATAAAGGAAAGGATCATATTCGCTATAGAAAGTGCATCTTGCCTTCCATAATAATAAAATCAATCCTTGAAGATGCAGCCAGACCTACAGATGGACTTTGTATAAAGAGCACTGAACATAAAATTTTCAAATTCACACTTCTTCAACAAGTCTGGAGTAGATAGAAATCAAGGTACCATTGCCATCCTTTTCAACTTTGTTTAAGAACCATCGGCTCATACTTATTCACAACCTTGAGAACTTACGTGAAAAGAATAGTCCATGATTGCTGACTGAAAGTCCAGAACTGGAAATATTAAAAGGACTTTATGTAAGATTTCACATTTCTTGAAAATGATTTGCAACTTTCCTGTACTCTCACTAGTCACTAGCTAGAATATCTAACAGTTGTCTCAAACATCCAAACCAATAGAGCCCTCCATCTATCAACCGTGTACCAGGCTATAGTAAAGTTGCGCAGAACATGGATTTGGTTGCCTCTTCTTACAGGTCTATTTGATTAGAGCTGACATCAACTTTCATTATCATGCGGAAAAAGGAATTAGGTTTCACAAATCCATTTGCTATTTTGTATAAATGCACATTCAGATAAACCTTCTGGCATAGTTATACTTTCGCATGCCAAAGGAGAATCAATCTTTGCACTAGCAGGCGAGACTGGATGTGACAAAGAGAAACCTGACTGCTGTTAGAAATGTCATGGCTCATTAAGTGCGAAACCAACGGAACGGTAAGAAACTAGAGAAACTCTCTTTTTTTCTTTGGACAAGCTAACTCGAACGAGAAAAGTTTACGACGACGGCAAGGAGAAAGCAGTATCCAGTAAGTAACGAGTCCCTCCATCACGGCACTTCTTCTCCCCAAAACCCCAGAAACAACACATAGCAAGAGGAAGACGAGGAGATGGAAAAGTAAGCAAGTAGAAGGGCAATAGAAGTTGAACCTCATTGACTTCTTCAGAAGGAGTAGCAGCAGCAGGAGGTAAAGGCGTGAGCGGCAGATGAGGCAGCGGAGAGGGAAGGGGGAGCCTGGGATGGCGCAGCAAGTGTTTGAGTTTGGAAACGTCGACGGCAAGATCAACGCCGCACTGAGGGCAGACAAAGCGAGCCAAACCATGCGGTACGTTGAGAAGGGCCTTACAATTAGCACAAGGGAGCTGGATCTTGGAAGGATCAATGCCATGGGCAGGGACTTGGGGAGGGGACGGCGTACTCCTCTGGTGAGCGTGTGCCCTAGCCAAGAGCTCCGGCGGAAGCATTTGAGGCATGTGGCAGCTTGGACAAACGAACTCTACGATTCCAGGAGCTACCGTCAAGATCATGCGGCAACCAGCGCAACGGACCTGGACACCGTCAGGATGAGATTGATTTGAAGGGAGCAGCGAAACGGTTGATGGAGAGGCCAGCGGCGGTGTCGCCGATGGCTGCGCCATTTGGGGTGGGGGTGTGGCCTGTGGGGGGCTTTGAAACAAGGGCCGATAATTGATTCTTTCGATTTGATTCCAAATCAATTAAATTCATAGATTTTCTTTTATTATTATAGTTTCAGCTTTCGCTTCTAGTTCTTTGCGAGTTTTTCTTTTTGTTTTTTTTTTTATAATTAATACTCCTTTTATTCCAACCCAATCAGGGGAGCAAGAACATAACAATTACGATGTTATATAATAATAACAATTAGGGTTGTCCATATGGTTTGATTCGAAGTCGGCGACGGGAATCGGAGGAGGAAGCGGCAGGGGTTGCGAGGTCGGGAGATAGGGGAAAGGGAGGCGGCGGGGCAAAGGGACGAAATCGAAGACGAGGGGGAGATGGATGATATCTGCAGCCTGGGTCTCGAGAGGAAGAAGTTGAGAGAGGGAGGGAGCTGTTGGGTGGCGGGTTTGGGAGAAAATGAGGGTAGGGTTGGCCGACTAGGGTTTGGAGGTGGGTTTGGGAGTTAAAAAAAAAAGAGAAATTTTTTGCTTTAGGTGGGATTCGAATTGAGGGTTGTTTTAATGAAAACAAACGGGAATCCCGTGTAAAACATGTACAAGAATCAAATCCAAAGCAATAAATTGTTGTTTCTCAAATTTGGGCCTTGTTGTGCAAATCTGATTCACAACAGAAAATAGAAACCCAACTAAACATGTTTTTTTTTCTTGGTTTCTCCAATCTTGAAAAACACAACAGAAAACAAAAACAGGCAACAATACTATACGAGGCCTAATGGTTTCAGTTTTTTTGTTTTAAACCAATAAGCAACTTAATGGTTTTGGTTTGGTTGAAACAGAAAAACCAATAGAAACCATTAAGAAACCAATAAGAACAAAATTATTTATCAACAAATTTTGTTCTTATTTTACACGCATGCCAACCAATAATTTGTAATGACATTTATCATTATTATGACGTTTGTTCAATAAAGAGGAGGAAAATGAGAATAAATATGAGTGTATGAGTACATGTTGGGTTTTTGGTTATCCAAACCAAAATCAAAACCATTAAAGCCCTTATTGGTTTTTGGCAACCGAAAACCAATAAGGGCCTTAATGATTTTGGTTTTGGTTTTTGGAATTTGGTTTTTGATTTTTGGTTTTTCATACTTAATGGTTTGGTTAACCAAACCAAACCAGATTGACAGCCCTAAATTAACAACCAGTTCAGTAGTAAAGTGTTTATCCTAGCCTCACCACTGAACAAGAATCCAGGGTGCAGATTGGATGAAGGAAACCATTGGCGCAATAGTCGCAGAGCATTGCCAAGGTCAGAGGACAGGATCTTGTTGAAGTGCCAGTGAAACACATTGGCAATCAGTACGGATATACGTGGTGATTAAGTCTTGCGCAGCAATTAAGATAGTATTACGTATATTATAGGCTTTTCCTTGAGTCAGACAGATAAAGGAAATTTCAGTCTTGTTGTCATTAACCTTCACCATGGGTACTACCCTTCACAATTTATCACTCAAGAAATCGAGAAAGACTATGGTGAAAGGATTGGAATGGGAACCCCTAGACTAAGAACGAGACTGTATCTCTGGTTGTAAAATAGTGCGATTGCGGAAAGTAAGAACACGTGTGATTTACGTGGTTTCTCCGTTCGTGAGAATGAGACTACTCCACGGAGAACGTGAGTTCTCGGTTTTCTCTTATTAGGTTTTGCAGGATAGAAAGCTGCAACTTATATTAGCCAAGCGGCTACAACTCCTACCTATATACCCTTTGTTAATCAACGTGGGTATTAGGTTAAACATCCTCTTAGAATATGACTTGAATTTAATTTGGGTTTGTTTTGTGTTTTGGGCCTATTTTGTTTGGGTTTGTGTTTGGGTTTTGTTTGACCTTTTCCTTATATGTTTGGGAAAAAGGTGTTTGGTTTTCTGTTTGGGATTAGGAGAAGAGTTCTATAAATACTCTTCACCACCCTAATCTATTGTAAGGTCAGTCGGGTTAGATTGTTTGGTTTGTCCGTTTGGAATTTGGTTTGTAACCTGTATCTCCTCAAAATAAGTGAAATTTGTTCTCCCTTGTCCGTGGATTAGCTAGCACACATTGTGTTAGTGAACCACGTTAAATTTGTGTTCGTTCGTGTTGGTTTGGATTATCGATTGCACGCTTTTGTTCTGACAAGTGGTATCAGAGCCTTTGGTTGCGGTTTTGGGAATTTGGCGCTGGACTGAAGTTTTGCTTTGTGGAGTTTGGTTGGAGTTTGCTTGATAGTAAGAATGGCTGCTATCAGTATGAAGATTGAGAAGTTTATCGGAAGAAACAGTTTCAGTTTGTGGCAGATCAAGATGCAAGTACTGTTGAAACAACAGGGTTTGTGGGCTCTGTTGTCTGAAAAATCGAAGAAGAAAAGCATAGATGAAGAAGAGTAGATTACTTTAGAGGAGAAAGCTCACTCTACAATCTTTTTATGACCACAAACAACGGAAGATTTCTTCTCTCCAAAGTACCCGTCGGAAACTATATCCTAAACAGATTCAACCGTGAACCCAACCCGACCGGTCCGACCCATCAACAATTGGAACATCAAAATTTTGTTTGCCCCTTCAACTAGAGCTAGGATCCAGGAGCAACATCCTTGTTGGTCTTGTCTTGCATGTACCCACTATATTCTTTAGCACATTCTTTTACATGGGTAGTCATGTCGACGATCCAGTTCCTGGCGTATTCCACCCGGTCCGACCCGGGTGGATGCATCCCTCTAAAATAGCTATGCATCCATGACAACCCGGCAACGAACGCCACAAAGCAGCAGCACGTCATCAAGAAGACGGAGACGAGAACGAAGAGAAGCGTGCCGACGGGATCCATACGGGGCTGGAGATGATCACCAACGGGGCAAACAAGATGAGAGCGATCCCTCTAAAATTTTAAAATAGATTTTAAGATTTTAAAATATTATCATAAAATAATAAAATAAATATTACTATATAATAATAAATATACTTTACTAAAAATAGTTATTATATAATAATGCTCAAATAATAATTAATTATAACAACTGTAATAATCATTGATCGAGCGATCTCAAAACTCGAAGCTCAACTCATAACTGGTCATCCTATATAGGGTTTTCGTGTCTAGCTTAATCTTAAATTGTCAAACTTAGTCAAACACGTTCGAATTTGTAAGTTTTAACTATTTAGTCAAATAAACTGAGTTAACCAAACAATTTCTCTCTATCTTTTCCACAAACACCTCGTATCTCTAATTTTCAATGCAAATTCGATTCAACCAAGAGATCTAGATTTGACTTGACGAACATTGATAAACTTGTTTCCAGAGTCAAATGGTCAACCCCGAATAATGTTTACATTAATGATATTTATAAAAAGAAGAAATTGATAAATATTAATTATTATATATATATAACACAATTAGAAAAATAAAATTCCATAATTCCCCCCTCCCCCTCTCTTCCTTCCTTCCCTTGCACCCCAATTCGGGGGTAAGCCGAAACAGTAAATTTGCACTCCCGTTGTGCACCCCCTACTGTTCCAAATTAACCAGCTGAATACACTTCTCGATATCATGTTCCAAACTGGAAAGCCACTTCAAGCAAGAACGTTTCTTCAGCAAGTGCCCTTTTTCATCCAGATAAATAAAAAGAGCAAAGGCCTTCTCTGACCCTTTTGTTGAGCAGTAAACATTAACCATGACACAATAGATATTCAAGCACTGGTTTCCAGTTCGGCCAAAAAAGCTTCTGCATCTTCCAATTTGACTCCAGTGGATAGCCCTTCAATGATGACACTGTATGTTCCATTGTTAGGTTCAATACCATAGTCCTTCATGTAGTTTAACAAGCACTTCACATCTTTAGTAAAATCCAATCTAGCCAAACCAGAAGCAAGTAAATTATAAATTATGACATCAGGCCTAATCCCATTTCGCTTCATCGATTCGAATAGTTTCATGCCCTCATCAAGATTACCTTTATCGCAATAACCACTAAAGACAGTAGTATAGTTAACGACATCAGAAGCCACACGCTTTACCTTTCATCTCCGGTCAGCAATGCAGCAGCCTCTTCCACCTTCCCTAGCTTGCAAAGCCCCTTCATTTCTCCATTTCCTGAAGAACACCCAATGCTTCCTTCAAGCAACCTTTCTCACAGAATGCCTTAACAAGGAATCCATTAAGTATGTTGATTAAGCTGCAATCCAATGCGGTCCTCCAGCTCCGTATAAAAATGGCCAGAACAGATCAACCTCACCACACTCAATCAAACGGTTGATGAGAAATTCAGATCGGTTCTGCTTCCACCATAGCTCCAGATTTACCGCAGCGAAAAGCAGTAATCGTCCATATATATCGCACAAGAACCAGAAACCTCCGATTCTCCCAAGTTCCACAGTACAAGTCCTCTGCAGTCGCCAAAGAAACCATTCTCGAAATCGAATTAATCCCAATTGGATGCAAGAATCTGGGCACAGTTCGTGACTGGAATATTTTTCTCTGCCGTTTACTAGTATTTTTATGCAATCGTCGGATTTTCCCCTCTTTTCCCCTTCAATTTTCCAGCTTTTCGACTGGAAAATTCATACCGGATCAATATATCGCAAAAAGTCAATATATCGCATAAATATCGCGAGATCTCGTAATATCGCGAAATATCGACAATTTATCTTTCTCGGCAATTTCTCGTCAATTTCTCGCGTTTCGATTTTGATTTTGTGGACCCGAAACGTTTCGCGTTTCGACCGTTTCTGGTACCCGTTTCTTCGTTCTGTGAGACTTCCCTGCTTTCGCCGGACTGGGCCTACCCTGCTCACGAAACGGCGCGACATTTCTAGTTCTTTGGGCCTTCCGATAATTAGAGGAAAATGTCTTTGGGCCCCTTGTCCAACGAGTGCCCAGTTTTACCGGGCCGTCTGCCTCCCTCCCTGTCCAAACTCTTGCTGGGGGATTTGTTCATTTGTGCCTTCGATTAAATTAAGAAGATCCCTCTCAGCCGTTTCGCCCGTTTCTGAAACCCGTTTCGCTATTTTGTGCGGGTTTCTCGTTTTCGCCGGCCGTAGGCCTGCCCTCCCCAACGAAACGCCACTTGTTCATCAAACTTTTGGGCTTTCAGTTAAACATAGAAGAAGCTCTCTGGGCCTTTGTCTAAAGAAAGCCCAGTTTTTTCTGTGCGTATACCTCCTCCAGCTTCCCTCTTCCAGAAGCGAATCCCTTCCTCGAGTCCCCCTCTCGCCCGCCGCCACCAGCCACCGTCGTTCAACTCATCCCTCGCTGAGAGCCAGATTCATATCGGCAGTTGGGTAAAAGAATGGCGGGCGGCAAGATGAGAAAAGAGAAGACCAAGGCGCCGCCGACGGCGAGCCACTACCAAGGAGGAATATCGTTCCACAAATCCAAGGGCCAGCAGCCCAGCACATCCTCAAGAACCCTATGCTGGTCGACAGCATAGTACAGAAGTCAGGCATCAAGAGTACCGACATCATTCTCGAGATTGGTCCCGGTACCGGAAATCTCACCAAGAAGCTGCTCGAGGCCGGTAAGTCCGTCATCGCCGTCGAGCTCGACTCTCGCATGGTGCTCGAGCTTCAGCGCCGCTTTCAGGGGACTCCTTTCTCTAATAAGCTTAAGGTAAACTTTAACTCGAATTGTTTTGCTCTCTCTGAATTGGTGTGCCAATATTATAGTCTTGTGGCGTTGTGGTTTAAGCTAGTGAGGGAATTGGTTGCTATTGAAATTTCCCTGGGTTCCTGAGTGAAAAATGGGCACTTTGATGAAGCTTACGTTGAATTGGATATTCACGTACGGGGCTTCAATACTTGTTGCGGTACCTAGTACCAACTGTGATGTAATTTGCAGAGCTACCCTTCAAGCAAGTTCCTGTCTATGCAACAATGTGGTGTTGATTTCACAAGCATCTCTAAACAATGGCATTGGAAACTCTTTTCCGTCGACAACAAGGAGGAAAAAGAATTTAAAAGGTGGGCGTGGGCCTGTAGAGAGTGACACTGACACGTTTTCATTTTTGGATATGCAATCTTTTGAATAGAGTGACGAGACACCAAGTATTGACTTAACAGTTTGCTCATTTGTCAGTAGCGTTGTTGTTTTGCTATAGAAAGCGAGTCATGAACTTGCAGTAGGCCAACCCCTGCAGCTGCCCTGCCACTCATGGTTTCTTCCCAATCCACACATTTGTCTTTCCACCTATCCAATCTGGTATTGTGGGCTGAAGGAAAATTAGGTATAACACTGCATTCATAGCTTTAAGATGGAGCTTTCAAGCAATAACAATGCATCAGTTAGCTAGATGATGAGGAAACCTAACGGACACACACATGAACCATATTGGTGAAATGGAAAATGCAAGGGGCAATTGTTGGAGTGTTACTGAAATACTCCGTGCATAGACCAAGTAGTAGAGCGCACAATCGATAATGGCAACACTCGATACCCGCTACAGGTATATAAGGGCTTGAAGCCCTCCAAAGGAAATGACTTCTCCTCTCTCCTGACTTTCGACTTTCCACTATCTCTCTACCTTATTCTCTCAACTCTCTCCTAAAACTTAAACTGACTTGATCGTCAGAGCTTAATCCGGGGGGGGGGGGGGGGGGGGGGGGGGGGGGGGGGGGGAATCCCGACTCTTTCACATGTCTCTTCCTCCCGACGAGATCAGACGAACGGATCGTGAATCAACCCCACAATAACAAATATCATTGTTCATGCCTCGAGCTAGGTACAAACAATGAATAAATTGGTCAATGACTCAATGGATAGATTAAGAAATGAAGGAACAGGTGGCTTCATGTGTCTAATACGTAATTGTCACTGAGACATATATATAGTTGAGGAAATGGGTGAGAGCGACAAAAGTGGATCTAGTAACATGGTACAAGAATCTAACATCCCAAGATTCGTCATTTCAATTGAATTTCCCTTGAATATTATATAAGAGCTCTTAATTAATCTCCCTACCTATACTACAGCAACCATGGCGACAAGATTACAAGGCAATGTATTCCTCTCAATGACACATATGGTTAATTACTAAAAAGGTAATTTTCAGAAATTGTGTTCTTTTAATCTCGCATATGGGTCTAATCATGTTGTGGATTATCAAAGAGATTTAACCTTTAACGATTAACGGAACTAAAAAAACTTCAAAGAACTAGCCACTTTAATTTGCAAAAACAATATCTTTGTTTTATAGTAGTTCTAAAAATTAATGCTAAATTAAGAATTTTACATCACTTCTAAATATAACATGCACCCGATGATTCAGTATGAAATATTCAAACCAAATATATTTTTTGTTGCGGTTTTAAAATAATACTCAGAATCTTGATGCATACATATAGTCTGAGAGAATGGGTCTTGGGAGTTGTTAGCAGTAGTTGCAGACGAATCATCACCTCAGACCTCAGTAGGAGAGGTGCAGTTAAAGAGTCCAGCTCCTGCTGATGTGTAGGCCTTTGTTATTTGGATTGCTTGGGCTTGGAAGTTATTATTGTAATAAGTCAGATCAATTTTCAATTGATCGATCATATGCCCTTAAATACAAGAGCTCTGAATCTCACCCCACTACCTTTTAGCAACCATGGCGAGAAGATTACAAGGCAAGGTAGCCCTCATCACTGGTGGAGCCAGGGGGATCGGCGCTGCGGTGGCGCGGCTCTTCTCTCAGCACAGCGCCAAAGTCGTGATAGCCGACATCCGGTCCGACCTGGGCCGCTCCGTATCCAACCAGATCCAGCTCGAGTCGGGCCACCCCGTCTCCTACGTTCAATGCGACGTGGCGAGTGACTCGGACATGGAAAACGCAGTCGACACCGCCGTTTCGACCTACGGGAAGCTCGACATCATGTATAGCAACGTCGGGATAGTAGGGGAGAGGTTCGACCCTCTGGCGAAGATCAAGAAAGTAGGCATACTGTCTGTTGACCGGGAAGCGTTCAGGAAGGTGTTCGACGTTAACGTGTACGGATTGTTCCTGGCAGCGAAACACGCTGCCAGGGTGATGGTCCCGCGGAAGAGCGGGGCCATTCTTCTGACGGGCAGTGCCGTGACGGCCAGCTACGGCACCACGCCGCACATGTACTCTGCGTCGAAGCACGCTGTGGTGGGGCTGGCGAAGAACCTGTGCGTGGAGCTGGGGGAGTTCGGGATTCGTGTGAACTGCATCTCGCCGTTTGGGACTCCGACTCCGATGGGTGAGGAGTCAATGGGGCTGGACGAGAAGACTCTGGAGGAGATGTTCACGACGATCGGGAATCTGAAAGGAGTTGTTCTGAAACCAAAGGATGTCGCGGAGGTGGCGCTGAGCCTGGTGAGTGATAAGTCAAAGTACCTAAGTGGGTTGAACCTTTTGGTTGATGGTGGTTTCTGCCTCAAGAGTGCTTGATTAAATGTGTCACCACATGCAAGATATGTAATAATGTATTGTTAATATTGAGGCGATGTGTAATATAATGTCAAATTAAGTAATTATGGAGAATATGAAAACACTTGTTATCCTTCTTATAGTCTCTATATTCTGAATCCTTTCTCTCTTTTCCTTGCTCAAAGCCTCAAACTCACTGATTATCCCTCAAAGTCATTAATTAAAATTTTCACTAAAACATTTGCTTCAAAACAATGGTGGCCAGCCTGGCATCCGCCAGCCGGTCCAACCAGTTCAACCCAGCATCAGCCCAGGAATCAATCCCGTCTTACTCACCCATTGATGGATCTAGTTTAGACAAAGGCCATAACAAAAAGCCCATCTACCAAAGCTATTGAAGAACGACGAGCCCAGCTGAAGAAAAAATCATCACCTCATCCCTCTTCGGCGGGCATTCAGCTTCTTCACCAAGAACTCCTCTCATCCACTTGCTCCAACCGAGCGAACCGTGCACAACGTTCCAACCAACGCATTGAAGATCCATTCAAATCGATCTACATAGAAGCTCTATGCAAGGGAAGATCAGGCGACGACAAGCGGCAACATTTTTCGACTCACCGAGTAGAACAGGGAAGTTTTACGGGACGATAGAAATCAGAAATGGGTTGATTTATTCGAATCTAATCTGCAGTCTTTACATCGGAGATTGCTTCTGGGTTTTGGCATAGATAAATCGCATTCCAATTTAGATTTGATTGAATCCAGTTGATCTACAATCAACGCAGGCGGGATTTACAGCGGTAGCCATGACTGTCCTTGGAGGAGGCTCTGAAAAACCACGAAACCAATGTCGGAATGTTTCTGGAAGTCGGTATAGGTGAGTAGGGAGGGGAATCAGGCTCGAAATCATCAACGTTTCAGTTCGGCCGACGAAAGGGAGGGAAAGAACGAAGATAGTCGCAGAGAAGATTTCTGGTTCTGGGTTCAGGATTCACATAGCCGTCAAAATATCGCCAGGAGGGACTTTTGGTCAAAATATCGTAAAATATCGTTGAATATCGCGATATTTAAATTTGTCGCGAAATATCGTCAATTTCAAGTTCTCGTAAAAATATCGTCAATTTATCGCGTTTCGATTTTGGGTTTGAGGACCCGAAACGTTTCGCGTTTCTGCCCAACGTTTCACGTTTCTGAGTTCTGTTGATCGGTTTCACAGATTCTCTGAAGCATCGGCCGCTGGCTCAATATTTGGATGGGCCGAAACATTTATCACACCAGATAACTTTTGAACAGACTGGCCCATATTAGCAAGCCCAATATCAGCTTTTTGGTGTGTTGCCGGATTCAGGCCGATTAGGGCAGGCCCAACTCCGGGAAACCCTGGCCCTAATGCTGCGAAACTGTCGAAACGGATACGAGGCACGGAATTATTTGAAGAAACGCCAAAACGCGAAAGGTTTCGCTACCTGAAAACCAAAATCGAAACGCCATAAATTGGCGAGAAAGTAAAATTGACGATATATAAAAATATCACGATATTTCGCGATATTTACGGTATTTTGTCGATATATTTATTTTCTGCGATTTATTGGCATGAAGGCCAAAAAAATCCCGGGAAAAATCTAAAAAACGAACAGAAAATTGCTTAAAAAATTACACGAAAGTGCAGAAAATTATACAGAGAATTATGTCCTTTGCCAGTCGCCAATAATCTTTCATCCCTGTACTGAAAAAATAATGTAGATTGGGCCAGTCCCCAACTGGCGACGACGACGAACTCAGTTAAGTTTCTTTCCCATTCCGTTCTTTGAGTAGGAGACTTCGACTGGTAGGCCGCGGTGGGAGAAATCGACGTGGCTTGCAAAAATTCGAAGCCCTCCTCTTCTTCATGCCACCACATCCGCCCTTCTTCGGTGTTTGATTTGGATTCGGAGAATCGTCACCCCGCCGGCGGCGCTTGTGATTCCGAGGAAGCATCAGTTACTTGTCTTCTTTCGTTAATAATGGGAGGAGGACTGGGAATCGCAGGCAGATGTGAGATGACACATGATAGCTTCGTTGGCGGGAAGGCGGGGGCTGGGCGGCAGGTGAAGAAGTGGGTTGTTGAGGATGCAGAAGAGTCTGCAGGGAAGATGGTGGGGTTTAGGGAAGGTGGATTTAGTTGTGTTGAGATTGATGCTAAGACTTGGGTAATATCCATATCAGTTTTTTTCTTCTTTTCTTTTGGTGATTGCTATCATGCTATGTGAATCTCTTTCATTTGATATCTGTTTTTCTCAGCCATTGGCAGGTCTGTGTGAAGAACTAAGGAACGTAGATGGTCCTTATATCAGCACGACGTCTTCCTTGTAACCTTTGGTCATATTAACTGAAATGGGGATGTAAAAGCTCTGACCTTTTTGTGCTCATAATCTTCAGAAGCTGGGACTGATATCATCCCATGTGTTCACAACAGAAAGATTGAATTTGTTGAGGTAAGAACTACTGTTCATAACGATGCCTTGAGGTTTTCCTATGTGTATCGGCTTTCTGCTGTTCGACATTTGCAGAACTACTCTGGCCTACTTCCCTAATAATATATTCGACACAAAGGTAATTGGATTGGGAGTTGGGAGTACAAGTTCCAATGTAGTCCTCAAATGATATACTAATACAAGAGAATCTCAGCACATGAGAGGTGTGGTTAGAACATAACATGCGAGAAGCCGAGAACTAGTAATGTAAGATGCGAGATTTTGTAATTTCAATTGATTAGGCAGATCCAATTGCCCTTAAATAGAATAGAAGAGCTCTCTCTCAATCTCCCCAACCTGTTAGCAGCAACCATGGCGAAAAGATTACAAGGCAAATTAGCCCTAATAACCGGGGGAGCCAGGGGGATCGGTGCTGCAGCGGCGCGACTCCTCTCAGCACGGCGCCAAAGTCGTGATAGCAGACATCCGGTCCGACTTAAGCCAGTCTGTGTCTAGGCAGATCCAGCTCGAGTCTGGCCACCCTGTTTCCTACGTTCAATGCGATGTGGCCGACGACTCGGATATGCAAGCCGCAGTCGACACCGCTGTTTCGACGCACGGGATGCTCGACATCATGTACAACAACGCCGGGATAGGGGAGAAGATTAACCTCCTGGAGAAGAAAGTAGGCATATTGTCCGTCGACCATCAAGCGTTCAAGAAGATGTTCGACGTCAACGTGTACGGATCGTTCCTGGCGGCGAAGCATGTCGCCAGGGTGATGGTCCCACGGAAGAGCGGGACCATTCTCTTCACCGGCAGCGTTGCAACGGCCACCTACGGAGGCGCGCCACACGTGTACGCAGCGTCGAAGCACGCGGTGGTGGGGCTGGCGAAGAACCTGTGCGTGGAGCTGGGGGAGTTCGGGATTCGAGTGAAATGCATCTCGCCGTTTGGAGCTGCGACTCCGATGAACGAGGAGTGGATTGGGTTGGACGAGAAAGCCCTTAATCGGTGTCCACTTTCATGCCAAAGACCATTCTTATCCGATCATTTGGTGTGCCCACTGTGTTGTGTTGGTATGTTCATCTGAATTGAAAGGAACAATACTATCTTCCAAGGGAAGTCCATCTCCACCTGCAACATTGTGCAAGAAATGGGTGCTTCGATATTCAAACCAAATATATTTTTTTGTTGCGGTTTTAAAATAATACTCAGAATCTCGATGCATACATATAGTATGAGAGAATGGGTCTTGGGAGTTGTTAGCAGCATGGATTACGAAACCGTACCGGACATCAAATCGGAATCGTTTTTGGCATGGTAAATCGTGGTACAACCATGGTTCAACCGTTTCCTACCGGTAAATACCGTTTTTGGATTAAAAAAATTATTTTTCTGTTAAAAAACCGTACCGACAAAATTAGGGTACCATACCGGGAAAATACCGAAATAATACCGGATTATACCGGAATAATACCGGGAAATTTGTCTACGTCTACTCCTTTCCCCACTAATTTCACCCCAAAACCCGTCCATATTCACTCTTACCATAAGAGACCCAACTCTCCAACTATATAACAAACCCCACAAACCCTCCACGCCCTCCCACCAAAACAAAATAGTACACTAATCAGACTTCAGGAAAGAAAGAAAGAAAGAAAAGAAAAAAACAACATAAAAAACCATGGGAGAGGTGGATCCAGCATACTTTCAACAGCCAGAGCACAGGCCCAAGCTTGAAATCGTTCAAGCATAAGGGAGCTTGGTAACCAGAATGAAAGATCTAATGGAGGATTGAACAAACCTCTGAATCGCTATCCAAACTGAGCTTGGTAACTAGATACTTGATTAACAACCGAACCATTTTTCTCCTTCGGAGCGGCGCGGCTGTGAACGCCGATGTCTTCGGTTGCTGGGGAGGACGAGTCGCCGGTGGTGTTTGGATGCTGGGGAGGACGTTGTCGCCGGTGGTGTTTGGATGCTGGGGACGCCGCTGTCGCCGGTGGTGAGAAAATGGAAGCGAGTTTGAGAGGCAGAGCGGCGCGGGGGAGACGAGAGGAGAGTGTAGAGAGAAGGAAGAGCGCAGCAGCCGAAGGTAGGGTTTAGTGTAGTCTCTGCTTCTCTTCCAAATTTTTTTTTATTAGCTTGGTCGAAAACGGCCCCGTTTGGATTAAATTAAGGGGACCGTCGGTTTTAATAAAACCGGTCGAAATTTCGGCCCATTGCGGTCCAACCGTAAAAACCGCTCGGCAGGCTCTTGGATAGTACACAACCCCTGTTATGCCGGGCCAGGTCCGGTTTCCGGTTTTTCCGGTCCGACCGGCCGGTCCGGTATCCTGGTCCTTGGTTAGCAGTAGTTGCAGACGAATCATCACCTCAGACCTCAGTGGGAGAGGTGCAGTTAAAGAGTCCAGCTCCTGCTGATGTGTAGGCCTTTGTTATTTGGATTGCTTGGGCTTGGAAGTTATTATTGTAATAAGTCAGATCAATTTTCAATTGATCGATCATATGCCGGAAAAAATCCAAAAGTACCACTGTTTAAAAAAAAAATTCCAAAAATACCACCCAACCCCAAAAAATTCCAAAAGTACCGCCCTTATTCAAAAATGCCACCCCGCCCTGCGGTTTACACGAAAACCGTTTGTTGGGGGCGCAGTTATAAATAAAAAAGGACCAAACCGCTGGATGGGGTGGCATGTTGGCCCAAAACCGCCACTCCACCCAACGGTTTGGTCCAATTCTTTTTCCCGATCAACTCCTAACTTCGGCCGAAACTTCAAACGAATGTAACTTTGCATTCGGGTATCCGATCGTAGCAATTTTTTTTCATTTCGCATAAATTTTCAAAATCTACAACTTTTACTAGGATGAAATTTTCAAAACAGAAACTATTTGGGGATATACAGGACCTTGGGAATAACTTTACCTTTACTTTTCACAAATCCATGTACATTTTGAAATATCTCATTGCACCGATGGCCAATGAGGGGAAGGGAGGTTGTGTTAGAATCATATGACCGAGAGGAACGCAATAGAGTTGGAATTTGCAAGAAAAATGGTCTCCAAAAATATTTCATTTTTTCACCAAATAGGCTTGTGGGCTCACAAAAAGTTCGGTTTAAAGTGCAATTTCTCATTGCACCGATGGCCAATGAGGGGAAGGGAGGTTGTGTTGGAATCGTGTGACCGAGAGGAACGCCATAGAGTTGGAATTTGCAAGAAAAAAGCTCTTAAAAGAAATTTCATTTTTCATCAAATAGCCTTGTGGGTCACGGACAGTTCGGTTTAAAGTGAAATATCTCATTGCACCGGTGGCCAATGAGTGGAAGGGAGGTTGCGTTGGAATCATATGACCGAGAGGAACGTCATAGAGTTGGAATTTGCAATAAAAAAGGTCACTAAAGAAATTTTAATTTTTCACCAAATAGGCTTTTGGGCTCACGAAAAGTTCGGTTTAAAGTGCAATTTCTTATTGCACCGATGGCCAATGAGGGGAAGGGAGGTTGCGTTGGAATCGTATGACCAAGAAGAACGCCATAGAGTTGGAATTTGAAAGAAAAAAGGTCTCTAAAGAAATTTCATTGTTTCACAAAATAGGCTTGTGGGCTCACGAAAAGTTCGGTTTAAAGTGCAATTTCTCATTGCACCGATGGTCAATGAGTGGAAGGGAGGTTGCGTTAGAATCATATGACCGAGAGGAACGCCATAGAGTTGGAATTTGCAAGAAAAAAGCTCTTAAAAGAAATTTCATTTTTTCATCAAATAGCCTTGTGGGTCTCGAACAGTTCGGTTAAAAGTGAAATATCTCATTGCACCGGTGGCCGATGAGTGGAAGGGAGGTTGAGTTAAAATCAAAAGACCGAGAGGAACACCATAGAGTTGGAATTTGCTAGAAAAAATGTCTCTAAATAATTTTCATTTTTTCATCAAATAGGCTTGTGGGTAGGGGTGGGCGTTCTGTCGGTTCGGTTTGAACCGAACCGAACTAGTATATGCCGATTTTTCGAAATTAGTAATACTCCAACCGAATTCGAATTTTCCACCAAACCCGAATTTATGGAAGACTTCCCCTTTTATCTCCCTCTCTCCCCAGTCCCCACTGATTTATCCTTCCCATCTCTCTCTCTCGTCCCTCCATCTCCCCACTAACAATCTGTTCCCCAGATTTTCCCTCAATCAATCTCTCTC